CCAGCATTTTCTTATAAATTGTTATTTTGCAAGAGATTTACACCAGATTCTCTTTAATCTCATGGACCATGGTCTTCTGTGATATTTGTGGATCTCTGAAAGGATTGAAGAATACGAGTTCACCAGATTCCCTTTTGTTTCTCTAACGATTTCATTTATGTAGTAAGGCCGTCATCACGCTATACGCTCTTAAGTCATCGAATTAATGTGCAGGAGAATTTTTTTAATAGAAAACAAACTGTCAACATGCACTAGTAGAAAATCGACCAAACTAGACGGAACAATCTAGACGGAAAAAATTTCGTCTAGTTTGGAGCAAACTAGACGGAAAATTTCCGTCTAGATTGTTCCGTCTAGTTTGGATCAAACTAGACGGAAAATTCCGTCTAGTTTGACAAACGAGACGGAACAGTCAACCTAGACGGAATTCCGTCTAGGTTGCTCCAACCTAGACGGAATCGCCGGTCCTGTTACTTATCGTTGGATGTATCCGATTGAAAGGTAATTTACGATTTTTCTTATATTTATTAATTGTATACGCGTTTTTCAAATTACCGTGCTAATAATTAACTTTTATGATTATAAGATACTTGGGCTGCATGAAAAACAATGTTCGCAATCGAGCTCGTCCCGAGGGCTTGATAGCTGAAGGATACGTGGCTAACGAATGCTTTGTGTTTGCATCACGTTACATGCGTAAGAAGAAAACCACATCTCAAGCACCTCAAAAGGAGAGGAAGCGTGAAAAATACCCGAGATCTTTCTTAGATCAAATTCATGCATATGTGTTGGAAAACCTTGATATGTTCGAAGACTATCGAAGGTAACAAATAAAATCTGTAATATAGATGAGAAATATTCATTTTACATATAGTTTATCAATACAAATTTATATATTGTTTATATAGGCAACATCTGGAGAAGCTTAAGAATGAAACAACCGGTAGGAATGCAGCGCACAATATTCAGAAAAGACATAAGAAAGAATTTTCTGATTGGTTAAGATTTGATGTAAGTGTTTTACAATTAATTATTGAACATTCATAATATAACATCGCCTAAATATTCTCAAATTGTTTGTCTTAGGTTGAAAAATCACTTCTTGATGATACTACATTACCAGATGAAATTATTATCCATGCACAACGTCCTTATCACGAAGTGAGACGTTATAATGAGCATTTGGTGAATGGATATAAATTTCGAACGTTAGAGACCGATGATAGGAGGGTAACTCAGAACAGTGGGGTCATGGGCTTGTTTGCTCAAGAATGTTTTTCAAGTATAAGAGATCAGAATCCAATTCTAGCTGACATATTATATTATGGCCAATTAGAAGATATCGTTGAGGTAATTTACGGGTTTGGTAAACCAAAACAATGTACTTACACGATGTTCAAGGTTCGGTGGTGTCCTGCAAAAAAGCAAAAGGATCATTATGGATTTACACTAGTCAATCTTCACCGAGAAGTATATACGGATGAGAAATTCATTTTCGCAGAACAAGCTGATCAGTGCTTCTATGTGAAAGATCCGAATGTCATGTATGATTGGGTGGTTTTGTACAAGGAGCCAAGATCTGTTGTTCTTCCTAATAACAATGAAAAAAATATTGAAGAAAGTGAAGATAATTATAGTGAACCAATCGGTTCATCTGATGATGTTTGGCAAGAATTCTCTTACGCACAGAATGTGGCGCTGGATGTAGGTATGAACTATATATGTTACACCACATTATCGATTTTTATCTTATCATAATAAAAACAATAATGCATTTCATAACAACATATCTCATGAGCATTAAATATTTAATAATTGATAATATTCAATTAAAATTTAATATTAATGATTCTTCTTTCTTATGTAGGTGCTACTTGGACCCCGACATATCCATCATATACATTCCTTACTGACTTGCGGCCAAAGACTCTGGACTTTCTCAGTTTACCTTTACCTCCGGACTCTCATAAGTTCAAGGCTGATTCAAGGAAGTACCACCCACGTGCTGCGAGAAGGTATCAGGAAATGCTTCCTATGTTGGAGACTAGGAAAGCTGTTGCACTCGCAGCAAAAGAAAGAGAGATAGCGAATGGTAAAAGCCAATAAATACTTTTAATTTTCACATTTGTATATTATATGATATATTATCATGTTGTCATTATTGTAGGTGCTAAGAAGGATCGCATAGAGGGACGATGTGGCGGAGGTAAGCCTGATTCTAAACAACCGCTAAGAGGAATGATGGGCATTATTAGGTTGAATAGTTCTAATTTGCCCGTTGGTCCTTGGTCAACCCGATTGAATGCATATATTGGGGTTCTCGTGCGTAGAGCGACCATTATCAACCCTTATTTTCATTTTCGAGAATTACCATGGACCGCATACGAGGCGATATGGACTGCGCTTATGGTAAGTGCATATTGTTTTAGATTTTTATTTATTAATAATTAGTAATTGATATTATATTATCCTTACTAAATGTGTATGTAAATCTACAGGACTGCTTCTGCCTTGAAGACTTTGAGGGGGCTTAGAATTATGTGTTTAATGTCAAGGTTGAAGCAGTCCTCAAACAATGGAGGCATGAGATCAAACATGAAACCTATGACAGGTATGAGGAGGACTGACAGAGGTTTTTAAACCTCGATGACCGAGTTGACGAGATTCATTTCACAGCTCTCCTCATGTATTGGGACATCGATGCCGCCAAGGTTAGTTTCATGAAATTTAGTTTATAATTTTAAGATATTATTTCATTTTATATTTACAGAATTTTTTTTAAAGAATAAATCCACGAAGGGGTCAGAAAATAGAAGAAAGACTGCATGACCATCACTTGGGCTCACACTCCTACGCCAATCTAGAGGATGTTTATTGTCAAGATACGGTATATGTCATTTAAAGATTTAAAAGATCTTAATGTTTAGTATGATTATGAAATCTCATAATTTATAATATGACAGGGGAAATCATTAATGCCGATACACTTGAGGGCCAGAGCGGCATATGGTACTTTTCGTGAACAATATAGGGGTGATGAGAGGAATCGGGATAAGATCACGGCAAATCTCGAGTTAGTGGTGAGACTTATACATATCTTGAGTAGTATTATTAATTCTATTTTGTTAACACTACGAGGAAACGAGAACACAAATAATATGGTCATTATCTTGAATTAACTATAAATTTGTGCTTTAGGAGGGATTTGAGACCGCATCCAAGGAGGCTGCATCTGTCTACATTTCGCAGGAGGAGGAACAAACCGAGCCAGACCCTCACATGCTTTCTGCAGAGGAGAACATCAATCTCACACAGAACCTGATGGGTCATAATAGGTAAGGATGGTGAAAAATCGAATCAATTTGAATACTACATACTATTTATATTTGTTTACCATTATTGAATTTGAGAGCAAAGTTTAATATTTATTTCTCCCTAATAATAGGAGAGGAAGATATCCTCTGCATGGTGTCGGAGCTTCACCCGGTATAAGCATTAGATCGTCCACAACATCCTCCACATCATCTACATCGCATAGAGCAGCCACAAGCAGTTTTCAGGCTATGCCATTTGTCGCACGTATCTCTGCCTTCTTGATTGACAAAATTGACCCGGAGCTGCATATTCAGGTGACTAATGAGATGACTAGAGTTGCGCTGACGGCGAACTCGATGGACGATCTCATAGGGTATGTTATACAATATTTAGGTGGTGCTATTCCTTATAGCGCGTATGGTGGTGTCATACGGATCATTAGCTCGATTGGCGATAATTCCGGCGCTAGACAGAGTAGTGCTCAGGTACCTTATTTTTTCTTATATTTATAAATTCATTTTTATCTAATATGTTATCAAACACCACATAATGATTATTCAATTAAACATTCAGAGTGGAGATATTGGAGGGAGCAGCACCCGTTCTCGTAATCGGGATAGAGATACCCCCGCCGACGACGATGGATGAGGTTTTTTTTATTTTTAATGCAATAAACAGTTTTATTTGTTATAATACTACATTTATTCATGTCGTGTATCATATCTTAGTCACTGGCATTGTTAGTATATATGTTGTTGGATGTGTTTTAGACGGAACTGATTGATGTATATTTTGAAGTGGATGGTTGGATTTGTACAATGTGTTGGATTTGGTTATATAGATGTTTTTTAATGGAATTGTTATGAATTTTGATTATGATTGGATGGTTGAATGTGGCGTGTATAGTATTTTCTGGATGTTTTCAAATATTAATGTAATTGTACAGGGAAATACAAATTTTAATTAATTTTTTTCCCCTGAAAAAAGGCAATCTAGATGGAATTCCGTCTAGATTGAATCAACCCAGACGGAATTTCCGTCTAGGTTGTAAAAAACCAACCCAGACGGAATTCCGTCTGGGTTGCCAACCCAGACGGAATTCTTTATTCCGTCTAGGTTGACTTCCGTCTAGATTGATCAATCTAGACGGAATTCCGTCTAGTTTGAAGCAATCTAGACGGAAGCAAAATAAACCACTCAAACTAGACGGAATTTCGTCTAGATGACCTAATCTAGACGGAATTGCAATCAACATAGACGGAAATTTCCGTCTAGGTTGATCGTTTTTCTACTAGTGATGTTTCTTAACTTCATGAGGATAAGGATTAAGACTTTTGGAGAATAAATTTGACCAGATGTCCTCTAATTAAGCAAAAGTTGACGTGCATCGATGGATTCAAGTTGAACCAGATGTACTTGTAATAGTTTCCATACTAAGAAAAGTTTTTTTTGGTCAATAAAAATGGATTTTATTAACCAAATATAGAATTTTGAGTACATCAACTATCCAGGTAAGGACCTGGAAATAAATTTTCCAAAATAAGATTTGAAAACAACAAACAGGTTACAATTTTTCCAACCTCTCCTTCATGTGTACAGGAATATCACTTCAGAACTTTGGAGAAAATTGCCAACTTAATAGCATGGAATACATGATCAGGTCTTCTATTTTTATATTGAAAGATCCTCATATTCCTTTCTTACCAAAGCATATAGATAGTGACCGACAATGCCATCCTCTTCAAATTCTTTATAAAACCCTTACCCTTGAGGTTGTTGCTATACCAATTGATGATATGATTCCAATAGCAAGATCTCCAATTAAATCCCAACCAGTCCATCACTTTGTTCCAGACTTGAACAAAGAACTGGCATTCAAAAAATAAATGTCCACAGGTTTCTTCTATGTGGTTTGAACATAAGACGCAAGCATTTGTGCCCAAATTTCCTATTTTACAAAGTTTGTCCTGCGTTAATAATCTGGAATGAGTCACCAGCCACAGAATGAACGAGTGCTTAGGATAGTGAAGACCTCCCGAGATAGATCCATACCAAGAGACTTGACTGGAAAATTGAGAAAGAGCGGTGTACACCAAAGAAATTTTGAATTTTTCGCCAGTGCAACATCTATCAATCAAGTTTTTCAAGTTATCTAACCCACCCAATTGAAGAAGCATTATATTTCTCACCTTAATGAGTTACCTCCGCATCCAAGAATCTTGATCTCTAGTTTGAACTTGCCATACATTATGTTGCCTCAGGTAGTGGCCATGAACCCATCTAATCCAGAGCATATCTTTCTTTAGAGGAATTAGCCAAAGAAGCTTGAGGGCAGCAGAATAATTCCAAAGCTTTGCCAAATATAGTCCCAAACCTCCTAGCTTTTTGTCTTGGCAAACTGAAGCCCAGGAGATAAGGTGAATTTTCTTGTTCCAAAGAAATGTTGAACACATACTATCAATTTTTTCTAGCACTTTTATCGGCAAGAAATAGTTGCTTGTCCAATACATTTGAATACTCAAGATATCTGATTTAATAAGCTGGAGTCCCCCTGCATATGAGAGATTCCTTTTGTTTTGCCAACTCTGGATTTGTGCACTGATCTTGCTAATAAATGGAGGGCAATCCATCCAAGATAACCTCTTTGATAAGAGAGGCATGCCCAAGTAACAAATAGTGAGAGTACCCTCTGTGAAGTTTAGCAAAGTGCAAATCTGAATTTTTAAATCTTCATCTATGCCTCCCAAATAGATAGAGCATATAGAGGGGTTAGCTTCCAAGCCAGATACCTTACTGAAATCTTTGAGGCAGTTAAAAATTTTTGTAACTGAGCCAGAGATTTAAGAGCAGAACAAAAGATGGGCAAACTCAACCGTCTCCCTAAAAGAGATGCAACAATGTTGAAAAGAAAATTATCTACTTTGCAAACATATTTGGGCGGGATCAAATATATGATTAAATCAGCCTTACTGAAAAGGAGAAAATCGTCAGCAAAGATTAAATGAGTGATCTCCAATCTAGAACATTTAGGGTGATACTTGAAAATCCTGTCATTCTTAAGCAAATTTAATTTCCTTAACAAGTACTCCATACCAATGGAAAAAAAAGGTAAGGTGAAAGGGGATCCCCTTGTCTTAGCCCCTAGCTCCATGAAAGAATCCATACAATGAATCATTAAGTGAGATATGTAGAACCCCGTAATTTTTATATGAATATATATGAATTATTAGTAAATAAATAATTCTTTTATGATAAATAGCTTGAGGTCATTGATATACATGATAATAAGTTATTTGAGATGATATGAGAGTTTGGGTGTAGAGTTTTGTGCGTTGGTTTTGCAAATTAGCAAAACATGCACAAAAAACTGAATTTTTCCAGATCAGTCGACACATCAGTCGACTGACTGTATCGGTCGACACATCAGTCGACTGATAAGCTGATTTCTAGTTTTTACAGGTTTTGGGTCTGTTTTGTTTTGGTTCGGGTTTAGGTCGGGTTTAGCTGTTCATATATATTCTTTTTCACCCGAATTCACCCCTCTCACCTTCAGATCTGAGAGAACCCTAGCCCCATCTCCTCTATCACAAACCCTAGCCTTGTTCTTGGTGATTTGGGGAAGAACTTGGGGGATTTTCGTCGAAATCTTCACATTACAGCAAAGGGGATCCTCTCTCTCTCAAATCCAGGAGTTGTTCATCACCCAGAGGCGAGTAACATCTCGCCCAACTCTGTCCCTTTTGTTTTACACGAATTTTTTGAGTTTAATGAGTTTTGATTTAGCCAAAAATATATTTTTAGTACAAAGAATGAATCTTTATGGTATATGAGGTGGGGTATTGAGTATCTCAGTTTATAAAAGGACCAACAATGTTTTATTAAAAATATCTAGATCTGAAATGTGTGTATAAGAGATTTAACATGAGTTTTGTTTTTAACATGAGATTTAACATGAGTTTTGTTTTAAAAATGTTTTAAAACATAAATACACATGTTTAGGGTTTTTGTTTATATATTCACATATGGGATTTTTATTTCAGTTTAGTTCATACATGTTAATATCAGTATTTTCATGCTTGGGATTGATGGGGATGAGTTTAGATCGAATTTTGTGTAAATAGCAACCTGTGCAGAGTTTCTGCAGTCTGTCGGTCGACTGATTTTGTTTTCTCAGCTTCTCAGTCGACTGGTCAGTCGACTGGTGAGCTGAGGCTGTGCTGCCTGAGCGTCATCAGTCGACACATCAGTCGACTGATGAGCTGTTTTACAGATTCTTGATCTGTTTGAGTTGTTTTTGGGGTCGCCTCGATAACCTGACCCTACTTTACCATGTTAATGATTTATCTGTACATGTGGGATGACTTTTGATATAAGTTTAAACATGTACACCGAGATGCAGGTGAGTTTAGATAATGTATATCTGTCTACATATACTTTTCACAGTTACACAGTCCTCGTGTTGGACTATAATCCATAGAAGTCCTCGTGTTGGACTATAATCCATTTCAGTCCTCGTGTTGGACATTTGCCACTTATTCCATGTGTTTGAAAACCACAGCATCTAATCCCTGCATCGAACATATTTCTTAACCATATATATGACTTTCTCACAGGAGTATATGACATGACACTTATGTAAATTATAACATGGCATACATGTAAGTAATAACCTGATGCTCATGTAAGCTATGACATGGCACTGTATCTATGCTCCGAGATTAGTTGCATTTCTTTTATTATTGTTTCTTGTACTAGAACTTCGGGATTTGTGTTTAGGGATTTACAAATTTGAGATATAAGGTATATACATGAGAGTTTCCTTGTTTGGATTATTTCGCTCGACGTACCTATGCTCGTGTTGTAAATTTCTAAATACTAAAATCCTCTTTAGTAAGATCAATGATTTTAGATCTATTATGTATTAACTGTATTTTCTTATAC